CTGCTGACAGGTGGGAGCCTTTCCCCCTCTCCCCCCACCTCCGAGGGGACCCCCTGCACCTCCCCCTCCCACTTCTCACTGCTCCCCTTGTTCTCCGCTCTCAGGGTTGCTCAGGATCCTCCTCTGGCAGGCAGCCTGTGCAGGTAAGTCGATCCGCCTTCGAGTCCCTGAAAGCGGCCATTCTTGGGTGGGTGCAGCTGGAGTCTCATCTTTTCGTGCCACCTCTTTTTCACCTGGAACGTCCCCTCTGAGCTGAAGGAAACCCAACAGGGAGAGTCCACTCTGAAGCAACAGGGGGAGCGTGCCAGATGGCGCTGCCTCACCCTCCCGGCCGTCCTCTCCGCTTTCAGGCCTCCGTGTGGGGACTCCACGCAAGCATCAGCATCAGTGTTGGAGGTTTTGCCTCCTGGGCCCCCTGGCTGGAGGTTCCTCCATGGAAAGAGGTGGAATCTGCCGCCAAAGGCAGAACTGCAGTCGTGGGATTGAACGCCTCAGTCTGGGCCGCAGTGAGTGCAGCTCTGGGGGAATTTTCTAACTTGGGGAGCTGTCGAGAATGGGCCTGAAAAAGCTCAGCTGCCTCCGCTCTGAACGGTGCAAAGCCAGAGGGCCTGGGAGGAGGACACTGCGTGGATTTGGTCAGAGTTTGTGGGGTGGCTCTCCCAAATTCCTGGGAGAGGGAACCGTGTCCCACATGGAAACCCTGTTTTTTCTCAGGTGCCCAGGGGACGTCTGCATGGCAGCTTCTGCCACCCCCAGAATTATCCTGGTCCCCTCCAGGCAGCTTCGTTTCTCGAGGGGAGCGGATCCACTTGAACTGCTCCCCCCCAGAAGGACAGGAGCCTGAGTGGTTCTTCTTCCTCCAATTAAAAGAAGAGGGTCAATGGACTGAACTGGCCCGACAGGAGCAAAATCACTTGGTGGTCCCCACGTTACACCTGAAGGCAAAGGAAACATTTGCATGCAGTTACTTGGGCAGAAACAGCAAAAGCAGACAACCCCAGTCTGAAAGGAGCAACCGGGCCGTCTTCTCTGTCTCTGGTA